GGTAGTATGGGGATTAAAAAATATTATAACGGCGGATTTCAACGAAAAGGGGTCTTTCTCTCACGATCATAGTAGGGTGTCTTTCTCGCAAAACAAAATATGGAGGGGTCTTTGTAATTTATTCATTTTATTTTTTTAATTCTACATAATTATCCATTAAATCAATAAGGAAATCATATATGTTTTGCTATTTATAATAACCGTAAAGAAATAGGGATTTACTTTTCTAATGTCTAGCCAAGTGGCACCACTTCCCCCCACTTCATCCTAAATTTTTTTCTAATTTCTATTTATCTTATCCCTACTTTTTATTTATATCTATCTAAACAAAGTTCGGTTAAAAAATTCAGAACTATTTAAATGTTATAACGAAATTATATATTAAATTTAAAATATTTATTCAAAACACAAAAAATTAATAGATTTAGTAATATCTATATTATTAATAATTCAATATTTTTATAAAATTCATCATGAAATTATGTAGTAATAATATAAACTATAGTTTTACGAATTATTCAATTTAAATGTTATTCAAAATAATAAGAATTTAACATTAAAAAATAAAATATTATTTAAATATTTCAATAACTAAAAATCTTAAATAAAAACATTAAAAATAACTAAATAATATAACAAAATATTTAATATTACATAATAACATTAAAATAAATAAAATTCAAATAATGAAAATTTTTAAATATTTTACATATTATATAAATATTTAACATGACAAAATTATTAATAGTTAAAATAACGAAATTATGTTATAAATTAAAAAAACTTAAAAGTAGAAATAATTATAATAGAATTCATAATATTCATATTAATAATAATTTAATATTTTACAAAATTAATAACGAATTATGTAATAATAGTACAATTATAATTTTATGGATTATTAAATTTAATAAATAATTAATGTTTTAAGAACTTAAATAACAATTTTATTTAAATAAGTAAATAATATTGTAAATAGCTAATTTCACTTATATCAATAAATAATTATAGAAAACAACTATCAACAAAATTATATTTATTAGTAATAATTTTACAGTAATAGTGCATATTCATTATATATTTATATTTACTATAATTAATATTTATTTTACTTCCAGTAATTACTTATTGTTGTTTTATAAATATGCTTTCAATAATTATTTATAAATGTATTTTTATTTTTTTATTTAATAGAAAATTATCAATAATTATTGGAGATTAAAAACTATTATTTAACTTTTGAATTTAATTTATCGTATTTATTGTATTTTTGTTATAAATTTATATTTAGTAATTATATATTTTTTATAATTTATATATTAATACTTATTAGAGATTAAACTATTGTTTAAGATTACACTATTTATTGACTATTTTAGTACATTTTTAGTCTTTATTATATTTTTGTAATTATTGTATTTTTATTATATATCTATTATATTTTCATTATAAACTTATTTTCAATGATTGTGTACATTTGCTATAAAATTACAATAATTATTGGAGATTAAACTATTGTTATTTATTAGATATTAGACTATAAATTTAGTTGGAAGTAGGAGTGTTCAATGATTAGTTCAGTTCAGTTGTAGGCTGTTTTGCCAACCAAATAGATCTAGTCAAGTCCGTAGTTTGTCACTCGAAACCGATTGACCATTAGTGAAAATCCACCTACTCGGGTTGTATCGATTTGGGTCTATTTTCGGTTTAGTTTGTTTGTTCAAAAGATTTAAACTTAAAAAAATTAACTTTATGTTTCATAAATTATAATGATATTATTAAAAAATAAATTACAAAAATTAAATCTATGATATAAAATATTTTAGACTAACAAATATGGGAATTTTCCTACTTTCCCATATCAAAAAATTAAATTTAAAATATAAAATATTAATATATATTTATTAAACCAAAGCCGATCTAAAATACTAGAAAACCGACTAACTCAAGTTGAGTTTGATTGGATTGTTTATTAAAAAGTTCAAATATAAAACAATTATATACTCTTATGTATTTCTATTGTTTAACTTGCGCTAACAAAGCTCGAGTCCTGTCACCATGCCTCTCCTTGCTCCATTATCCCCACCCTACATTCTCTTTGACTTTCTCTCCTCTCCCCTTCTCACCACTCCCATTATGCCATGTCACCTAACTACCTAAAAATATTCCTATAATCTCTTTCCTAAGATATCTCATTTAAACCAATTCCCTAAAATGCATCCCCCCAATCTATATGCACTCTCCCTCATTTAAAATATTCATATTAATTAATAAATAGTTAAATATGGTTAATATTTAATCCCACCCATATTCAATGAGTATTAAATAATGTTATTATCAAAAGTTAATAAATATAGTTAGTAAATTATCAAAAATTAAATATTCATATTAGTACGATTAGTAAATTACCAAAAATTAATAAATATTATTATTAATTAACTAATTAACAACATTTTATTGAAATTTAACTTTTTAACTAATTTCTATAAATTTGAGAATTATATTTAACAATTATCAAAAAGTATAAAATTTTAGTTATTGTTATTATTATAGTTAATAAACAAATACAAATGGGGGGAAAATATTCTAATGTTAGAAAATGAAACTATTAATTAATTTATATTGAAAAATAAAAGACAAATTAGTGTAATTTTGTTAGTAATTTGTTAGTAAACTACCAAATAAAAAATATATTTAATAACAATTTAAAAAAATTCAATAAATCCACATAGTTACACAATGTAATAAAATTTTAAAAAAATTTCATAAAACTACATTTTTATAAAATAACATTTTTGAAATTAAAAGATATAAAGTATTTGAAAGTTTATTTAAAATGCATTAAATAATTATTGAAAATTATTAGAATATTTTGGAAATTTTAGGAAAATTTATTACATTTGATAGATTTTGGAAAATCATTGNAATTGAACAAATAATTACACAAATTATTAAGATAAATTAGTATAATATTGGAAAAAGGAAATTATTGGTTAGTTTATATTAGAAATTATAAGATAAATTAGTATAATTCTGTAAGTAAACCATTTAAAAAGAAAATGAATTATTTAATAAAAGTTTAAATAAATTTTCAAAATTACACAAGTACAATAAATTTTCCAAAATTTTCACAAAAATACATTTTTGAATATTAAAGACAATTTAGTGTACTTTTAGAAATTTACCATGTGGTTGATACTCAATATTTCATTTGGATCATTTCTATCATCAAATTGAATATTGGGTTGACGAGGACTGTGTTTTCAAAACTGGATCAAACCAGATGGTTAGACCAAAAAAATTGGGAACTAAACACTGTTTCACCCCAAAACCGCTTTTTGTCCAAAAACCGTTTATTTGGTTAGCGAACCGCTGACCTGGGCGGTCGAACCATCAACTCAGACAACAGTTTTTGGCCTTTTTTTTGTTTTTCTGATTTTTTATTTTTTTTTGTTAGAGCGGGTCATTTGTTCGACAAACATATCGTTTGACCCCAGAACGGTTCCCTACCCGGTCCAATTTTAAAAACCTTGGACGGGGAGTGGGTGCCTTGCCTTGAGATTGGCTTGGTGTGCGGCATTGCACGGGTTCGTGCGAGCTCGAGCCGTGGGCCATGCCGAACCGACCCCCCAAATTATCCTAGAGGAAGGAGGCACGGCCCGGGACGCCTCTGGACCAGCATGACACAACTTGCATTTTGTGCGGGCCATATGTGGGTCATGTCATGCTGACTCATCGCGACCCAATTTATACCTCTACTTGAACCCACTCAATATTAGGGACGAGGTAGGGAAATTCGAGGATTCTCCATCCTTGATGAGAAGTGGGGTACCTTGGCCCTGAACTCGCCCGACATTGAGGAGTGGTTACCTTGCCTTGAACCCGCATGACACTGGGGATAGGGCGGGGATGGGGTGCCCTACCCTGAATCCACCCTGTTGTTATTCCTATACATATTTTAATTATTAGTGAAATTAATAAAAATGTTAACTTTTATAATTATTTTTATTTATTTTAAAAATAATCAAAATTTCATTTAAAAATGATAAAAACAATAAAAATTATTAAAATTACTACAAATTATTAATAAAACTAAATTTATTAAAAAATATTTATTCATATTCAATTAACAATTATTACTTTTTATAAGTCAACATTAAATAAAAATAAATTATTAAAATTTTCAGATTTTCTCGTGTGCATCGCACGGATCCCTGTTAGTGTTATTATGCTGGACAACATTGAACCGGAACTGAGTTTGAGTCGTCTACCGAAAGTTCGAATACAGGCATGAACGTGAGTCAGAGAGGGGCCACCATTTCCATTTGACACCCATACTTCTAAAAGCGGGCCCACCGTTGGATGTGCCTATCCTGACTGTTGATTATGGCCCCACAGACCTGGGTTAAACAATGCATAAAAATCAGACGGACCACATAGCTTGCTACCTTTACTACCATTCAAGGATCGGGACCTACTGTTGGATGGGTATCATCTCCTTAGCTCTTGGTCGCGAGTCTCGCGACAACAGTAGCCAGCTACCGCTGCAGCCGCCTGCAGGCTGCTGTATTTAGGTAATGTCAAATTCATGCAAATTGCAACAAAAACAGCTGATGAATTTAGCTTTAAAAATATAAAAACACCTGAAGTTTTACAGGGGGCAGCACCTGGCCCCTGCCCCATTGGACGACATTTTAGATTTATAAAGGGGTTATATCAGATAAGGGCAACTTTTGGGCCCTAATATAATAAAAGTAATATTTTTAATAAAATTTTAAAAATAGATTAATTTTTTAAAAATAATATTAAATAAGGGCAAATCTACTATTCATCTTTTTCTTCTTCTCCTGCAATGCCTTTACCCACCTCCACCTATTAGGCTATTACTGTAAGCGATTGTAATTGGATCGCCATTAAAAGGCAAATATTTCTTCATATGATGTGCAAGAGCAGGATGGGACCGGCCGAGATGAAACAACAAGTTGAAGTGGTAGCGGTAATCAATGAATACCATAATGAGATTGTATTCCTTCTATATCGTATGGGTGCAAATTCACCTTTTGAGTTCCCACATCAATGTAGGGAAACATAACAGCATCGTGCTCAGAGTTGTGCCCAAGCCCAAGCAAGTGGCCGATTTTGTGCACCGCCACAGATGCCGGATCAATCCAATCGGCACGGATACCATTTGTCCATCGTTCCTCCAAATCAAAATGCACTCTTCCATCATTGGGTGCAAAGGCATGAGCAAGAACCCCTCCTAGTCCATCAAACGGACTACCATTGTCGTGATCACCTTTGAAGAATGAAATTCTAATGTCGGCACTGGACAGGTCTTGAGTCTCTTCGAACGTGAAATTGGTTACCGCTGCCCACTTGCCTAATTCCACATAACAAAGGGGATGCATTTGAGATGTTGGGGACCCCGCATTTGAGATGCATCTTAGAAGGTGGCCACTTCGTGGTAAGGGTATTGTTGAAGAAGGTATAATGGGAAGAGAAGCCGAGGGTGGTCTTGTGTCCACTAACACCAAGAATACACTTTTCTTCTCCTTGCCTGATCGAGGCAGCATTATTTGTTTCACCGTCTCGACATCCAGGCTCCTCATTTCTTTCAGATTGTAGCACAGCTGGTATGTCTTGATGGTCGAAATCGTCGTCGTCATTATGGTGGTTGAGGTAGCCGAATCTCTGGAGATAATGTTTAACTTGGTTGGGACCTTTTACTCTAGTCTCCCTTGTGGCATCCTTCTAACTGATGCAGGAACTGAAACGCTTCTGGTTTGTCAGCTTCGCCATGACCATGAGACTGAGAGAGGAGATGAAAGACGAGGAGGAGAGGGAGGACAAGGAGGACGATGAATGCCAAGAGAGAAGACTATGTAGCTACCATTACTTGGCTCTGGTTCGTTCATGTATGCATGGTTTTGTTTTGCTTGATTGTTTGTTTATGTAGTCAATGTAAGTTTTCTATTTGGGCGAAGGTGGTGGCGTTGGGCAGAGGGGAAGGGGGAGGTGGGCAGAGGTAGGCGGAGGCGTTGCCGGAGGCAGCGGTGGGCAGCAACGCTAATAAATGATCTCTAAGAGGAAGAAAATGACCAGTATTTTTGCCCTTATTTGATATTATTTTTAGAAAGGTAACCTATTTTTGAAATTTTACTAAAAGTATTACTTTTATTGGATATTATGGCCCAAAAATTGCCCTTATCTGCTATAATCCCATTAAATCCTCAAATCTAATCCTAAAATTTAAATTATAAGGGTCCGTTTGGTTTGTGACCGGAATCAGAAGCAAAACCCCTTGGAATCAGAATCAGAATGGTCTATTCCCCCTACTTGTTTGGTTCAAATAAGACTTGGAATCAAATTCCAATTTATGTTGTTTGGTCCATTAGGATTGTAGAATCGGAATTAGTCATGATTTCCAATTTTTCCCCTAATAAAAATAAAAAATGCATGAAAATATTAGAAAGTTTATTGAAGTTCTCTTGAGCCGATTTGGTTGAACCTTATAAGCCAAAATCAATGTTGAATAGTGTTATAAAATAATATTAATTAAAAATATTATAAAATAATATGCTATTTTAAGTTGTCTTCAAGATGTTAATATTTGTAATCAAATATTAATATTATAAAAAAAATAATTTAAAATAATATTTATAAAATGCTAATATTATTAATAGGACAATTTTCTTAAAGTACCCCTAAGGTTTAGCTAATTGACTAACTTGACCCCTACTGTTTGACTATTATCTTAAAATACCCTTACTATTTCTAACAATTGACTAACTCTACCCCTAATGTTAACCTTCTCTTTTCTTCAAGTTCATGAGCTACAAAATGGTTGGGATTCGTGAGTTGATGATGTTACAACACACCTAGTGTAATTGTTATCATACCAAACAATTAATCGAACAAAAAAAGACGTAGGAACTTCGTCGGGATTGACTATCACACTGAGAACAGGACAAGTTAATGTCACTGCAACGAAGAGAATCATACTTGTTAGTATGTGGTTTTGAACGGTAGAGCAGTTCTCTACAGTGAGATGTCTTCTGCAATCAAGAAGAAAAGATGGAAGAAGTCGCGAGGCAAACATTGATATGAGGGCTTTATATGAAAAAACAAGAAAAAGCAAAGACGACAAAAGATATGAGAGGGAATAAAGCCTAGAGTTGAAAGAAGACAGGGCTTTATGAGATGACGAAAAAGATAACGGTCTTGCATTGGTTTTTATGGAGGAGATTCCTCTGCCGGGCATAGGGTGTCCACAGTTTTTAATTCATTTCATTTTTAAGAGATGCAAGAAAAGGAACAATTTATGGATGAGATTTGTTGTCGAGTATTATATGAAGAGTGTTGCCACAGTTTTGATTAATTTTGCCATAGTCGCTAATAAGAGAAGCTGATTTGGAAGTCTAGCACAATTTTCATCGCTAACATCTCCATCTCTGATGCGTGGATCATTGAGACTCCGATTCCGGGCATGTAAATTGGTAACAGAACAAAATGGCAAAGAAATTGTCTCTTATATTAAACTTATCAAATATATATACACATTTATTACAAGGAGTTTGACGTGGCATTCCAGATCCTTCACCGTAGCAGACTCATAACAAACTTCATCGCAAGTGTAATCCTCATCACAACTAACTTCATCGCAAGTAACCTCATCGCAAGTGTCTCTCCTAATACCCCCTCCTTCAAGTTGGAGCATGAGGATTAAAAATGCCCAACTTGGGTAATAAAGAAGCAAACCTATCTCGTCCAATAGATTTTGTAAAAATATCAGCATGCTGAGCTGATGTGGGAATATGAGTAGTAGTTATAGTTTTAGACTGAAGGTGCTCTCGTATGAAGTGGCAATCTATTTCAATATGTTTGGTACACTCACAAAACACTGGATTAGCAGCTATGTGAAGTGCCTTGTTGTCACAATATAACTTCATGGGTTGTGGATGAGAGAGACCAAGATCAGAGAAGAGTTGTTTTAGCAACAATAGTTCACTGGTGGCGACTGCCATCGCACGATACTTGGCTTCAGCAGAAGAGCATGCCACTGTTGCTTGCTTCTTACTCTTCCATAACAAAGGAGAGTGACCCAGAGTTGTGAGATAGCCAATGATGGATTTCTGAGTGGTTGAGTAACCAGCCCAATCCGAGTCACAATAAGGTCGCAATTGGAGATCACAATCAGCCGAAAGAAGTATTCCTTGCTCAGGTGTAGCCTTTAAGTATCGAAGTACATGTATTGCAGCATCTAAATGTTGTTGTCTAGGATCACTCATAAACTGACTTAGAATATGAATTGAATAAGTGAGTTTTGGTCTTGTAATAGTGAGATAGAGAAGACGACCCACAAGTCACCTATACTGATCAGGGTGAGAAATTGGCAAGACCGATTTAGGTCCCAAACGGTGTTGTTGCGCAATAGGAAACGTACTGGGTTTACAACCTAGCATACCTGCATCCTTAAGGATGTCAAAGGTAACTTCCATTGACTGAGAAAAATGCCTGAGGAAGACCAAGGAACCTTAATTCCAAGAAAATATCAAAGGACTTTGAAGTCCTTAATTTGAAAGCACTGTCGTAGGTAGTCCTTGAGAGTAGAAATACGACCTGGGTCATTTTCGACAATCACCATGTCATCAACATATGCAAGTACAACAAGAAAGTTGCTTGATTGTACTAAGGTAAAAAGGGTATTAATAGCAACTGATTGTCTGAAACCCCGTTGATGAAGAGCATGAGCTTGAGTCTCAAACCCATTGCGTGAGGCTTACTTGAGACCATAAATGGACCTATTCAAACGACATACATGCTGGTCCTTATGAGGTAAAAGTGTAGGTAGAGGAACCATGTAGATTTCCCATGAAGAGTACTATGGAGAAAGGCATTGTCTACATCCATCTGATGGAGTTTCCAATTTCGAGTTGCAGCTAGAGCCAAAAGGCAGCATACTATTACGAGCTTAGCAACTGGGGCATATGTCTCTGTATAATCAATGCCTTTTGTTTGAGTGTAGCCCTTTGCCACTAAGCGGGCTTTGTAATGCTCAACAATACCATCGGGCTTGAACTTGACTTTGTAGACCCAACGACACCCAATGGGAGTCTTTCTAGGTGGTAAATCAATCAATGTCCAAGTATGGGTGCGCTCAAGCGCTGTTTATTCAGCTGGCATGGCTTAGTTCCAATAGTCATGTTTGCTAGCTTCATCATAACAAGAAGGTTCAAATTGTGTAGAGGTGATTAGGTCCATAGTTAGAAAATTGGCATGGATCAGTTTGTGACTGAAGTGTTGGACAAATGTAATCATCCAGGTGTAGGGGAGGCCTCTTGGAGCGAAATGGGCAATGGTTATGTGGGATTGATGGGCTATGAACAATAGGTTTAGGAGTTGGGGAAGTGATAATGTCCATGCCATTAGTGTGTTCATTTAATTCTGAACTAATACATGGTTGTAAATTATCACAAACTGGTTCAGTTCTAAGTGTTTGATTAGGCATTGCATCAGCTACCATGTCATCAATAGCTGGTAGAGGTATAACTAGTGGTGGAAATGGGTCCAAAGGCATGTTGCCATCAGCAAAAGGAAATTTGTGTTCAAAGAAAATTACATCTCTGGATGCAAATATCCACTTAGTAATCAAGTCATATAATTTGTATCATTTTTGACCATTAGGATATCCAAAAAACACACATCTAGTGACACGAGCATCAAACTTATCACGCCCATGTCGGGATGTACTTGCATAACAAAGGTAGTCAAATGTACATAGATGACTATATGAAGGAGGCTTGTTGAAAAGAAGTTCATATGGCGATTTTCCAACAAGTATTGGAGTTGGCAAATGATTAATGATGTAAGCTGTTGTCAAAACACACTCTCCCCAGAATTCGATTGGTAGGTGCGTTTGGAACCGTTAAGCCCTTTCTATCTCAAGTAAGTTTTGGTTCTTGTGCTCAACGACTCCAAGTTTGATGCAAGATTCCACATGCTGTCAAGTAACCTTGAACAGGTCCAGAAAGAAATTTGGATCCATTGTCCGAACGGATATATTTAACTTGAGCATTGAACTGTGTTTTGACCATTTCACAAAACATTATAAGAAAAGAACAAGCATTTGATTTATATCGTAACAAATACAACCATGTGGCTTGAGTACAATCATCTACAATTGTTAAGAAGTAATGAGCTCCAAAATGGGACGGGGTGCGATAACCTCCCCAAATATCACAATGCATGAGTGCAAACTGTGCATCAGATCTGGTATGACTAATGGGAAAGGAAAGATGTGTTTGTTTCTCTCGCAAGCATGTGTCACAACAATCATTGTTAGGTACAATAATGTGCAATTCAAGAATTAAAGTGAATTTTTCATAGGAAGCATGGCCCAACCTTGAATGCCACACACATGGATCATGAGTATGGGTATTGTGCAAAGAGAAGGATGGTGGAAGGGAAGCAAAGTGATACAATCCATCACGCATTAGGCCCACACCAATCAGCTTCTTGGAAATCAAGTCTTGATGAACACAAAAAGTAGAAAGCACAACATAGTACAATTCAAGTCTTTGGTAAGTTTACCAACAAATATAAGATTGTACTAAAACCTCGGAATGAACAATATGTCATTTAGTCTAGATCTGAAGACAATGTTATGTCACTTTGTGACTGAATTGGTAATAGTGTTTCATTTGACAATTAAACCGGTTTTAGCACCGATGCCAATGTACTAGATGTAGTATCAAATTCAGAGTTAGTAGGAACCATATGATTTGAGGCCCGACTACCCAAAAGCCAAGAAGAGGTAGTGACCTTACCTGCAAAGTTGGTTGAGAAAGTGTGTTTATCATTATTCAGTAAATCAAATAGACTGTTGATGGTGCTTAATAACTATTGATACTGCTCCTTGGACAAGCTGCAAATCAAAGAAGTTGCTTGGACTAAGCTCGTGCCAACAACAGATTTTTCTTGATTGCTAGTGTTCCTCTTGGATGAGGACTTTGGTCGAGTTCCCCAATTCAGTGGATACCTGAACAATTCAAAGTAGTGATCCTTACTGTGACCCTGTTTCTTGCAGTGCTCACAACGAATCTTGGACCTTTCTTTTCCTCCTTTCGAGTTAAATCTTGGAGGTACCACATGAAAGGCAGCGGCTTCCGCAGTTGGACCATGTTGAGCAATTAAGGATTGATGTCTTTCTTCTTGTGATACAAGTGCATAAACCCTACTAATGCTCGGTAGAGGGTCCATGCTTAAAATTCTTGATCTAATGTTATTAAATTTTTCATTCAGGCTGAGCAAGAATTGATACACTTTATCTCTTTCCTGTTCTGTAACAAAATCCTTCTGAACTCTACAAGTACACAGTCCACAGGTACATGATAGTCTAGCAATGTAGGCTGATAACTCATCCCAAATTACCTTGAATTTTGAAAAATAAACAGAGACAGGAAGATTTTATTGCCTGAGTAACATGAGTTCTTGCTTGAGATAAAAGATTCTTGGTGCGTTTCCTTCTGTGAACCTCTCCTTCAAATCTTTCCACATTTCTTGGGCATTTTCAACATAGGCTATGCTTTCGTGGAGGTCTTTAGCTAAAGCATTGAATATCCATGACACTACCATGGAATTACACTTCGACCAGGCGAGCAACTCTCCCTGCTTCGTCGAATCTGGTTTTTGAATCATTCCATTCACGAAGCCAATCTTGTTCTTAGCACTGAGAGCATTAATCATGGCTAGGGTTGTCAATGGGACTGAATTTGGTCCAATCCGGTCCTATCCATCATTGGTCCATTTACAAATGAATTGGACCAAATCCGGTCCAAATCCATACAAATTGGATCCAATCCAATCCAATTAAAATGCAAATGTACTGGATTGGACCCAATCTTGTCCAAATTAAATATTCTCCTAGGAAAATGTTTTCCCTAGAAAATATTTTGGTTGCAACTAAAATAATGAAGGGAAACAAAATGTTTTCCCTTTGAAAAAGAAGATGATCTGCCCATTACACAACTGTGGTCCGTCAATCTCATTTGTTTGTATGATAAAAGATAAATTTACTCTGAAACAATGAAAAACAGAGCTGCCATTGAAAATCAGCTCTGCCCTCCCAGAACAGAGCTGCCCATTACAAAATCAATTTATCTCAAGGGATCAAATGTTTTCCCAGGCAAGACCACAATTGCCTTCAGAGCTGCCATTGAAAAAGAAGATGAACTGCCCTCCCAGAACAGGCATCAGAAGTGAAGCATCACATAGAGTTATCCCCTTCGAGGACAAAAGGCACAACTTTGAAATAGGTCCAAATGATTTCCACTAGGAGATTACTCTTGGGATACAAATCATACAATGACACAAGTATATAAACAAAGTTGGGAGAAAACATGAATATGTAAACCATTGAATTGAAAGATAACATGAGGTATAATAAAGAATCGCCTTTTCTATAGAAACACCATTGGGTTGAAATCTCTTAAAGAATCACAACAAAGTTCAGTAAGAGAGTTTCCATTAAATGCATTTTTATAAGGAGGAATTAAGAAGTTTGCAGAAAGTAGTTCTTCTGTGACCAGACCATGCATCAGGGTCAAATTACCAATCCCTGCTGGAACAATGTTCTTGCAAAACTGCAGCAAAAAACAAAGGCCACGATAACCGTATGATATATGCTGTTCTGAGAGAAATTAGCAGAAAGAACTAATAATCCATGTAAAACTTTTGAAATAGAAATTGTTCAATATAAAGGCCCATAACAAGATGTTAATTGAAAATATGAAATGCTATTCATTAGTCAAAATCACCATATGGACCCAAACAAAAAGTTTAATCAAAATAAGAAAAATTTATTTTGATACAAGGCTGACTTTCTTATTAGGGACCATTACTTGGCCACAAAGTCAACTTTTCTTATTAGGGACCATATCGTATTGTAAATCGTAAAGAAAGTTGTACTTAAAAAATAGATTTTACCCTATCTTTACTACTGAAAAATGAAAAATAGATAATACTAAAAAACTTAAATCTATAAAGTGATTTTACTCTATCTTTAATTCATCTCTACCATATATGTACTTAAAAAACTTCTAATATGACCTATTACCGGCAGTAAAATGAGAAGACGTGGGACAATCTCCATCCATCTTGTGATCTTTTGGATCCTGTAAGCAAACTTAACTGAGAAAATTCCATTTCTTGTCAAAAGCCCAAAGACCACCTATTAGCCTGACCTGAACTAGCTAGGAAGGTATATATAATTTCTTGATTTTAGCATAAATCATGGGGGGAGGGGGGAGGCTATTGATCAAGTCCACATTGAAAGTTGTACACTGTCCAACACACATCTCTCCCAGGTCCTTACATTGTTGGAAAGAAGCCAGGTCAAGTTACTGCCCACAAGCTTTCACTAGGAAGTTAAAAAAAAAGGAGAAAAGAAGGGAGCCAAGGGTTTTGCCATATGTCTACACTGTCACCCCTGCCAACCCCATGAGCATCCACTAGCTAGGGGTCTTAGTGTAACATGTAACTAGAATCCATATTGTTTTAGACCTCATTGTCAGATTAGATCAGTCTACACTCTCTTGGCAACTTGAGCCTAGTCCATTGACCTTCCTCATAATCTGTAAGTAATAAGTATGCCAAAAAAGCAAGAGTTTTGGACCACAATATATATAATTAATTTGGGTTGTCTCTCAAAGATTAATTAACATAGCATACACTCCATTGAGTGCCTACAACAGTCAACAGTCAACACTCATGGTAGAAACTCATGGTAGAAACTGGAAAGAGTTTCAACTTCCAAGAATGGTCCCTTCATTTTTCCTACAATTACTTTCTTTTTCAATTCTATTGCCTCCTCTAAATCAATAAACAAGATCTCAATTTCACAACCATGCATGTTTAATATCCACTTCTCACAAAATCACTTTTTTGCTCATGCTTTATTAAATGTGGCTCACCAAACTGTTTTTGTACGTCTGATTTTTTTTTTCAATTGAACTTAATTTTTAAGTTACCCTTTTAGACTGTCAAATGTAATTGTTAATATATCTCTCTCTCTCCAATCCAATAAATCTCATTGTTTTCTTTCTTGGGTTTGTAATATATCTCTCTTTGCATAGCATATTTAATACAAGAGTAAATTAAGAGAATGTCATTGTTTGTTGGTAGCAAAGCATAGACAAAATAATTCTTAATCTTGGGAATGTTGGTAAGTGACAAGTTGAAGTTGCAAGAGATGATTAAAGGGCTCATAGTTTAATCAGTACCTATGGTTAAAATATAAAGATGGTGACTATAGTGCAGATTATGAAGATATTGATGACAGTGATGATGAAGATGACGAGTGCAGCGATGAGGATGATATTACCTAGTAAACTGGACTGGATTGGATTGGTCCAATCTATTGTCTTATTGGACTGATCAACCTGGACTGAATTGGACTGGTCCAATCCACTGTCTTATCGGACTGCTCAACATGTTCAACTTGGACCAGATTGGACTGGTCCAATCCACTGTCTTATTGGACTGTTCAACCTAGACCGGATTGGACTGGTCCAATCCATTGTCTTATTGGACTGTTCAACCTGGACCGAATTGGACTGGTCCAATCCACTATCTTATTGGGTTGATCAATCTGGACTGGATTGGACTGGTCCAATCCACTATCTTATTGAGTTGATCAATTTGGACTGGTCCAATCCACTGTCTTATTGGACTGTTCAACCTGGACTGGATTGGACTGGTCCAATCCATTGTCTTACTGGACTGTTCAACATGTTCAAATTGGTTTTAATTCAATTCAGATTGTGTCCAACCCAAACATAGTCGAATGGTCCATTGATAATCCCAATCTTGTCTTCTATCAATATAAATCATTACAAATGGACTAGGTCCAATCCAATCCAAATTTTATAAGCAAATATTTTATAAAAAAAAATATAAGAAAAAATACCCATGAAGCAAAAATGTCCAAACTAGATGCATGGCATATGCTCCAATATCCTGAAACAAAAGCATTTGCTTAGTTAAATTACATAAAGACAAACATTTTGCAAATCAATAGGAAATACATAATTTACATGTTCGGTTAGTGTCAGTTGTAGAAGTCACACATATAGGAGAGGTAGTGGCTGCTTCAAGATCAAATTCTAAAAATAATAATACACAACCAAAAACACATATTAGAAACAAAAAAACATATAAATAAATAGAAACATATAGGAAATATAACAACTCTTTAAGATCCAATTTTTAACTTACTTTTTTGTAATTGGAGCTTTTAACCAGTCTTGCCCACAAACCAAAGCCTCCATAGTCTCTGGAAGTAATGAAGTACGACACTGATCCACTATTCTGCTCCCAATACTGAATGTTCCCTCAGATGCTACAGTGGATACTGGAAGTGCCCAAATATTTCGTGCCAATCTAGAGAGTTTTGGAAACTTGAGACCATCAACTCGCCATAATCTCAAAATATCAAGCCCTTCACTTCTAGGAAATAGTTTTTCTTCAAGATAAAAATCTAACTCTGACTTTTGAGTCCCTAGACAGCATTCCGAACGCTCTTTAGTCAACCACCAATCAAAACCTCTCAAAAAATCTACAATACCACGAATCTTCAATGGCTGAGATGCAACACTAGAGTCTACAAGTGACCTATCCTCTATATCAAAACCCGCATACTCTAAATATAGGTCATTTAGTGCCTCTCTAACTCTTGTAATAATGCCTCTCAGTAGTCTCTCCATAAATGAGATTGTAGTAATATGTAACAATCTCCATCTTAAACCTGGGATCAAGAACAACAACAATTGCAAGCACCAAAGAACATTCATCCCAATATTTATCAAAATTTTGCTTCATTCTATTTGTCATTGAACGAACATACTCATATTCACTATCTAGCCATTGAAGCAACGAAAGCTTAATTGTGCAAATATCGAGAAAAAATACATTTGAGGTTGGAGAAGTAGTACTTGAGAATTTTTTTATGCAGATGTAAAAAACTTTTAAACAATCCTGTACTACTATCCCCATCTTTTATTCCTCATCAGATGGTAGATTCTTGTAGCCATGGTCAACCTCAACTAGTTGACAAAATGCTTCCTTCAACTCTAAAGCCATGTCCAACATGTCATATGTAGAGTTCCATCGCGTTGGACAACCAACAACCACCCCTCTCTTATATTGTACTTTTGTTTGGCTTCTTGCATTGTCAAATTTTTGCTTCTTATAGGGTGTCAGCTTTACATATTTAGTATTTTCTCGAATCTTATGTAACAATGGTGATACTTCTCTCAACCCATCTTGTACAATAAGATTTAAGATGTGAGCAACACATCTCACATGAAATAGATCACCATGCAATGGGAGCCCCTTAATACAAAGTTGATTCCTGAGCTCCCTAACCATAACATCATTGTTAGAGGCATTGCCAACTGTTATAGAACATATTTTTTTTATCAATGTTCCAAGTTAACAACCTCTCCATAACAGTTTCTTACAAAGTGTTTCCATCATGGGGACACTCAATCGCCACAAATGCAATAGTTTTCTTTTTCAGCTCCCATCCATCATCTATAAAGTGTGTTGTTAAACAACGATACCCCAAATTTTGTTCCAAAGTCCACATATCGGTGGTTAAGCTAATCCTACAATCCAACCCATCAAAGTATTTGTACAACCTTTTCATCCAAGTAAATCTTCATGACATAATTCTTTATTGTATTTCGGGAAACAAGCTTAAATGATGGTTGAAAATTATTGACAAATATTTGAAAAAACTCTTCTTCAACTATACTAAAAGGATGCTCATGCTTTATTATCATCTTTGCTAAGTCCATTCGGTTCCTATGTTGGTCAAATTTGAAGTTTTCTACAACTTCTTGTTCACTTGTGCCCATTTGTTTTAATTTAGGACATTTTGGTACATGCCCTAAAATGTGGCTCGTTCCTTTAGAACTTCCACCTATATATTGTTTTCTGCGATGTTTACAAATAGCTCTTTGCTCCCTAGAATACAATTTTATATTCTTAAAATGCTTCCATGCTTAGGACCTAACCCTCTTTCCAGTAGTGCTAGATGCCATAGATGATTCACTTGGGTTTTTAGGCACACTTGCATTTTCAGCACTTGGTTTATCCATCCTTAATGCATTAAGAAAAGAAATAAATTAATTTTCACATTAACATGAACAATAAGAAAGCCTAATAGATTGTTTACAAACAAGGCTGTCAATGGATAGGACATTGGTCTAATTTGATCTGCTCCAATATGAGCCCATTAAAAATGGACCATGTTAATTAGGTCTGGACTAGTCCAATTCAACATTGTCTTATTGGACTGTCCAGCCTGTCCAAATTGGTTTTGATTCGAATAAGGTCCAACCAAACCCGGTCCATTGACACCTCCATTTACAAGGATACAATTATAAATCCCTTCACTGTTTACAACTTGTGCATTGAATATGCCTCTTCTAGTGTAAAATTAAAAAGAAAATGCAATTGAATACCAAATTTAAGAACAAGAAAAAGGGTTCAACTATGATACCGAAAAAAACCTAAAACCAAATCACCAATCAATCAATATCATAAAACTGGTATCCAATCAGATCATATTTATCAAAATTCATGGGAGGGTTTGATTGGTCAAAGCCCTTTCAGTATCATGTCTTTCTGATAGCATATATTTTCCCCAAGGAAAAAAATATTTAATTTTAACTTAATACATCAAATCTATTAGAATTTATAAGATACATAAATATGACATTTGATAGATTTATCCATTTCTGTTAATGTTTATAAAATATTGATTTTGAAGATTATTATTTTTAATTTTTAGTTAAACATAAATGTACTATTATTTATTTGCGTTGCGTTTGGGTGACTTAAGTTCAAATCTCATCAATTGCAAGGTTATATTTCTGATAAAAATATTTAATGGCACAAAATTAGAAATTCAAAATTCAAATCTCAGGCTGTAGCAAACAAATATTCAGACTGTAGCAAACTCTGTGCTAGGTTCTACCAAACATTGTAGCAAACAAATATTCAAACAGAACCATTGGCATTCCAAGAAATATTCAACAGAACCATTGAATATTCAAACATAAATATTCAAGATATTCCAAGAAACATTCAGACTGAGAGCATATTCCAAGAAACATTCAGGCTGTAGCAAACAAATATTGAAACAGAACCATGTATTGCTGTCTACAATTAAAATTAGGAGAGTATCTACCAAACTCTATGCTAGGTTCTAATGACAGAGGATACCTGAATGAACAAATTGCAGAGGTCAGAGGAGACTATCACTTGAGAGCAAGATGCAAGAGAAAAAAATCACCAAAATATGATTGCCTGAGTGAAGAGGGAGTGTTGTCGCCGCCGGAGAAAGTGAGAGGCATCGAGAGAAGAGAGAGTGTTGTACTGCTGTCACTAGAGAAAGTGAGAGGGCATTGAGAGAAGAGAGTGTTGTACTGCTGTCAATAGAGAAAGTGAGAGGGCACTGAGAGAAGAAGAAGCTCTGTCATTGGAGAAAGTGAGAGGGAAAGAGGAAGATTTCCGGAGAAAGGGAAATACGGCTGGAGTTCATTCGAAGCTTCAAACGAAATACCGTTGTCCGCCGGCGAGACTGAGGATGAAGCGATGGAGGCACAGAGGCATTGAACCCTAACCTTCGAAAGCTTCTACGCTTGACGCTTCAAAGTTCAAACGAAAACGAAGGATGGAGGTAGAATGATGAATTCTGATCAACGAAAGAGGAGATCTGATAAGTGATAGTGAACACAGTGTTTCCACTTCCATTCATGGCCATTCTTGACGTATGGCCATTCTTGACATTGACGGAAGAGGATTCGAATCAAGAACCAGGAAGAGGGCTGGAGTCAAGAATCGGAGATTTCTATGAGAGCCTGGAGCTTTGATACCATATAAATTGGTAACAAGACAAAATGGCAAAGAAATTGTGTCTCTTGTATTAAAATTATCAAATATATATCCACATTTATTATAAGGAGCTGACATGGCATTCCAGATCCTTCACCGTAATAGATTCATAACAAATTTCATCGCAAGTGTAATCCTCATTGCAACTTGCTTCAACCAATTCAGGTATTCTCCTAATAGCGGGACCCCGATAGACGTATCCCGTCTTTCTCACTAGCGCAGGAGGCTCTGCTCATGATTCATGAAAGGATACTCGACAGTGATTCTGCATTTGGGTTTGGATGCGATGGAAGCACTAGTGACGATGACAAAGATTATGAGCCGAGAGGTGGTGGTGGCGGTGGTGGGGGTAGGGTAGCGACCAAGCTTGTTGTGGCGAGGATGCATGTGGGGTGTTTGTTGGGGAAGGGTAGGGTGATCATTGAGCAAATGAGGGTGGATACTAAGACTCAAATTAGATTCCTTCCAAGGAATCACAATCTACCTCGGTGTGTATCCATGTCGGAGGAAATCGTTCAAGTAAAACCTTCCTCCTTTTTAATGTACGATTTATCTTGTTTCTTGGTTTCCTTTAACTAACCATTGCACGTTGAAACATTTGAGGTAATGACATGGCTCAAAGGCAACTTTTTAAAAGTAGCTTTTATGTTCTAGCAAAGTAGATTAGATAAAACCAAAGTACCCTTAAGAGACCGAATCTCGTCTCGCCATCAACAACTTTGATCAACCAGAAATGCCATGTAAAGAAGAAAGCTATAAGCAAATTCCTTGATGGATGTAGTGACGGCGGTTGCAAACGATGGATGTAGCAACCATGACAGCGGTGAAATTTTTCAGCAGTTGGGTTTTATTTTGAAAATTTGAGAAATAGTGGAGGGCAATTGTCATAACTAGTAGGAATACTTTAATACAATACTGAAACAATATGAGTATAGTTTGTCAATTTTCTAAACATTAGGGGTAGTTTAAGAAATTTGCCCTTATTAATAAACACTTAAGGGGAAAACGTCAGAGTGAATGATGTGGTGAAGTAGGGAACGACCCCCATGAACAGCAAGGAGAAGCAGTGGTGATGTTCATTGGACCATCATCACCACCACCAATCGGACAAGGTGCCAAGTCTAGAACAAACCCCATGCAAGGTTGAGTCATCCTGGCTTGGGAAGAGGGGACGATCACTCCCACTGCATCACTGTCATCAATGATGGTCGAAGGCAGAAGCAGAGTCTCTGCCATCACCATCTCCCTCCCTCCCTCCCTCCCTCTCTCTCCCCTCCTATCCTTCATCGTGTTCATCCTTGAAGTCTCTCAAGTCCTATTTCTATAGGACCAGTACCAAAACAACCCACTTTACCCTCCAATCGCCTGCACCATCAACCTTGACATCTCGATCGACAACTTAGAAGTCGATCATTTCCGATTAGATGCAAAATAGCCTTTGCTGGGCTCATTGATTCAATTCACCATTTGGTCTGCAATAGAAAGATAGGGGAGGAATGAAAAAGATTGAGAGTGAGAGAGAGAGAGAGGAAGAAGAAGAAGAAGAGGAGAGAGAGAGAGAGAAATCGACGATGACTTACCTTGCCATCGTCGGAGCTTCGGTCCAAATCCGTTCTTCAAACTTCAGCTCCAAGGAGAAAGGGACGAGAGACGAAGGAGAGAGGGTTAAAAAGTTGGAATCGGATAGTGAGAAGAGTTTGAGGGCTTTTATGTTATTTTTTTATTTTATTTGAAGAAACAGGAATGGGCTCCGATTCCTGGGGTGGGTTGGGAATGGCCATTCCCTCAAATGGGGGATTGCCATTCCGCCCGAAAGGGGAATCAGATATCGATTCCACCCAACCAAACGCCTGGAATCATTCTGATTCCGATTTTGGACCCTTATTCCTTCAAACGAAACAGGGCCTAAATCCTTAAACCCTAAATTCTTAATCTTAAACTTTAAACCCTATAATTTAAAGTTTAAGCCCTTAAAATTATAAATCACCTTAAACCCCAAAACTTAAATTCTAAACTTTTAAAAACAAAAGTCTAAACCCTTCAACTCTAATGCTAAATCTTAAATTTACTATATAAAATGCTTTGGTAGGATGCATGTCCTCCAATGGGGTAGGAATCAAATATTTCCCACCGTTTTGGCGTAACTGAATCTTGTTCTACTAATGTTGTATCTAATTATCAATATTCTTTACTACGAAGAGATTTCTTTAAACTCAACTTTGATGGCAACAATACGGGAAACCCAGGAATATTAGGTATTGGCGGCGGTATGAGACGAGAAGGCAATATAATTGCTTTATACTCAAGATCAGCCCGAGAGAGAGATTCCCTTACAGCAGAAGTATTGACTTTAATGGAAGGTGTACTGTGTACTGTGTACAAAGGGTGAAAGAATTGAATGCTAGAAAGTTGATTATTGAGGGTGATTGGAAATTGATAATGAGGTAGTTACTTAGCGAGGAGTCAAAGATGTGGAATATGCAACAATGAAAAAGAAGAAATTCAAATGATTGAAAAAGATATGAAAGTTTCTTTCAATTGGATCAAGTGATATGTTAGCTAAACAAGGGGTGGGGAGAGAAACTTTGTTCTGGGTTGTAAATGAGGAAAATGTAATGGGGAGAGATAAGACTAATCCAGTGAGCGATATAGTACAAATTCCTGGGGAAGCAGTAGATTCAGAGGACACTCTTCACATCTTATTTGCCTTCAGCATCCTCTGTTAATGGCCGTTGGAATATTATCTGAAAGGCAAAAGTTCCTTTGAGATTCCAGATATTCATGTGGAAAGCTTGGTCGAATGGTATCAAGACAAAAGACAAGTTGGTATTTCTGAACTAGCAAGATCAATTGTATGGGATATGCCAATTTGATATAGAATCTTGGCAACACCTTTTCTTTTCTTGACACTATGTCAAAGCAGTGTTTGGTTACTTGCCCAAATTGGCATTAACCCAGAGGCTATTAAAAAATCTCCATCTATCTCAGTTTGTTACTGATTGGGTGCCTACTAAATTAGTAAAAAAATAAGGAACATTGCTAAGTTTTTCATTTTGTTCTGGTTGATTTGAGATGTGAGGAATGAGAAAATATACGAGAATCGGTTACTTCACCCAGCACAGTTAATTGAGAAGGCAGAGAACTTTATTCTTCGGTAGCAAAACCAACTCTGGTAACTAAAGCGCAAATAAGGATCTTGTGGTCCAGAAGGTTCAAAATTTTGATACGATATGCCCGATATATCGGTATCTTTTAAATCAATATAGGAAACACATAAAAGTTGTGCATACTGTATTTTTTATGCGTATCGTATTGATTCGGGCCCGTATCATAGATTTGGTATTCTTTGTATTTAAAGAACTGAGATAAATAAATTTGATAGCCTGACCAGCATAAAAGGGCAAAAGATCATAGTTGGTTACGACTGTATTGCAATGGTGTACCATAGATTCTCTTGTAGTTGCAGGGACAGGGCCCCAATTGTTGACGTTTATGAAACAAGGGGAATTAATAATCTGATTCCCTTATGGCGCGACATGGAGAAACAAAACAAAAAAAAAAAATGTAAACAACTGTTTCCCTTGTATAAAAAAAAAGCTAAAAAAGAAAGACTACCGTTTCGAATCATCCATCCTATACCATCATAATTAACCATAAACTTTTTTGATGAATCATAATTAACCATAAACTTACAGTGGTTTTAAATCTAACTCCTATGCCTTATAGGGGGTAAATCAAACAGTAACACAAGCCAAATACAAGAACCAATGCTAGAGAAAGTAGATAACTGCTGAAGGACCAAAAAATACATGGGATTAAGGCCCATCCCCAAGCATAATTTAACTCAACTTCTAATATCCCTGTTCAACTTGGGAAATATGAGCTAAAGCCATTTTAGTGTCATGTAAGCTCGATGAATCCATTGCCAAATTGTTTAGCCAATGTGCTCAGTTGTGGCTTTCCCTCAGTTCAAACTGAACAAATGATATGTATGACAACTCAAATGCTGTGAGGAATTGACTGCTGCGCTGGACAAGTTTTCATCTGCCAAAGAAAATTCTATTTACAACATGAACGGGCAAAGCATAGGCTGGATCTATGGCTTTTAATCCCGGATATTCAAGAAGTGAAAGTCCTGCATTAACAGAAAAAAAGGGATACAAAGATATTAGGAATCTGGAAGAGTGAAGCCTGGCCCTGCATTCTTGGAATTGCTAACATTTTAACGGGGTCAACCTACCAATTCCATCACTATATAAAACAGAACTGGAGGTTTGGGATCCACCATGGCCATGCAATGGATCCCTTCAAGAGGAGTACACGAGTCACTGAAGTCATTATCAGATACTAGCAAAATTTTGATCAGTAAGACCTTCATGGCAATTCAATGTTTTAAATCTTGAAATCTTAATAGTTGGAGTCCTTAGACCCATTAAATAGTGTCTCCAATAACAATGGACGCATGATAGGGGAGCATTAGGAAAAACTTTTTTGCACTTTATCATGTGACATCAGCACTACCAAATTGACAATAAGAAACAAAATAATAACCAAAACCAATAGTTGGGGCTGTAAACACCAAGGCTAATGGGCCCATATTCCGAGCCTCATAGTCATAAATAATATATATTAAAAGAAAACAAAACAAAAAATACATATAATATTTGTATTTATCTCATTCAACACACTAGTTATACATCATATATCTTACAGCATCCAAGAGAATTGAGCTTAGCTAAGCCCATCCAAACTCTGTTTAATTAAACACAGTCCCATGTAAGCTGAGCTCATGAGCTTGGTTGCTTACAACCCTAACATAATTAGGAGAGAAAAACAGCAGAAATTCAACTTTTCATACCAGCAACTCCAAAATATGTATGGAAAACATCAACAGCATCATCTGGCCGATCTGAAATTCCCCCATTTTCCTTGTCCTGGATTTTTAATGATAGAAAGTCAATGCCAAGGTGCATGTCAAGATCAGATTTTTAAAGATAGAAAGTTCCAAGAAGATAACAAGTTCAACATTTAAGACTTCCCACTGAATAACTTGAAAAGAAAATAGGTCACTGAGTTCATCAACAACCTGACAGTCCAGTATAAATCTTGCAACCTTTTCCTTGTTAATCCAATGTACTCTGTCAATCATGATCAAGCTAGAAAGAACCCACCAGGAGTAGCAAACCTGAAGAAATGAAGATGGATAAATCTACTGTAGGCATTGGCGTTTATTAAGATACTCAGTTAAAGTGCACCCACATCAGGAAGCTTCTCAGGACGCCCGTTTAGCCCTCCAGATTTAACTTGCCGTTCACATAACCACCACCCAAGAAGGTCCTTGTCAACATGGTGTAGAGACCCTGTTATAGCAAGGGCACCCACACAGCAGAATACTGCAATGACATTGCAAGACACAGAAGTTAGTTTTAACTTTTAAGCCTAATTTGAACTTGATGCAAAAAAGAAAATGGGCATATAGTAACAGATGCCAAGTGGCCCAAGCCAATTATGTAGCAAGAATGGGAACCCATGCACATATAAATGTACTGAAACCGGTAGTCATGCCAATGCTCTAGAGCAAATTGTGGGTATGTGTTAAAGCCTCAAATTTTTCTGGACTGGGAGCAGACTATTAGGCTACTCCCAGAGCTGTAAAACCTTTCTTTCCAGACCAGTCTTCTAGGCCCAATTCTATAGGTCGGTTGGAATATTTTATTTAAAAAAAAGGGAGGGGCCTGCAGTAAAGCCTTTTCAAGTAGGCAGGAGGCCTTAAATTGATTTAAAAGGGATTCGGTCCCTAATAGCATGTCATTAACACTTAATGGGCCTGTAGTAGAGTCCATTTAAATGGGCAACAGGCTCTAAAAGAGTTAAGTTTGTCTTAATTAATAAAGGCCCACTTACAGTCAGCTCCATGATCCAAAACTTGATGTGGGTGAATGCAGAATCCCCCCTTGGGTGTGTATTTGGAAGCAGAAAATTCCTTCAACCCCTTGTCTAGCTAGAGAATCTGCTAGCCCATTTTCCTCCCTCGGGACCCATTGATACACTACTGTTATTCCCCTCAGAAACCATAAGATTTTCTTAATCCCTTCCCTACATCTCATTAATTAACTTCTATAAAATCTTAATTCTACACAGGGAATGAAACCAAAAACAGCTTTGTTCATGAAATTTGGCTAGTTATGGTTCCCTATGCCTCATTAGTTCATAAAGTTCTACAGAAGCTAGACCTTGTACAGGGAAACAAACCATCTACAGCCCTGTTCATGAAACTTAGTGGTTTATGGTTCTCTATTTCATAAAATTTTGATTCTAAGTAGAAAGAAAAACCACCTTCAGCCTTGTTTATGAAATTTGGCTGATTATGGTCCTAGGTCCCTACTTAAATATTTTTTAAAGAAAAAAGGTTATCCATTTGTTTCTTTCTCCTAGTTTATCTTAAACCATGGAAGAAATGCACCAGAATTTTACCAATACTCTGTTCATTTACCTTTAAATCAGAATCAAAAGGTTTTCTTTGCCCCTAGCAAAGATGCAATTAAGGGAATATCTACGTGATATCCTGAATAGGGCTTACCAAAAGACTAAAAAACCCAGCTCCAGTCTAATTGGGTAAATTATGTTATACAAGAAATTCTACCAAAAGTTTTTCCACTAACAACATGCCTTCAGCCTTCATCATACTACATAATCAAGACAACTATTTAGAAAACTGTGGTTTTTTATTCTTTATTATTTTTTTTCATCTCAAAGAAACATGCATGATAATGTTATTATTATTGCAACACAGCATCTAATCATCTCCATTAATGAGTACCAACAAAGCCTAATCAAAGATAAAAATCAAGTCTCTAGGAAGCAATTTTCTGAACATCGTAATCATATCATGAATCATACAGAAAGTGAATCAAATCATATCGTAAATAGTAAGATTATTTATATTTTTTACAAATTTGTCAAAAAATTATATATATATATATATATATATATATATATATATATATAGAGAGAGAGAGAGAGAGAGAGATAGATAGATAGATATAAAGTGTTCCACCCTATTTTTAAGTTGTATCTACCATATATGTACCTAAAACAGTAGAATTTACCACTTATGCAACAGAAGTCTAAGATAATATAATCAAGTTTAACTTTAAAGTCAAATAACCCACATACAATTGCTCTTTATTCAACATATGATAGAAAATAAACTCAATATATGGATTTAAATAACGTAAATAAATCAATTTCTAGTAAAGTCTTTAAAACAAGTCACCCTTGACAAAACTAATATAACCAAAACAAAACGACAAAGTAAAGAACTAATTCTTAATTGAATTGATTTGAATCACAATGAATCATATAAATCGTAAGATATATGAATCAAATCTTAAGGTTCAAGCAAAAACTGTAAGATTTTTGCAGAAGAGGATTCAAACATAAGATTTGAATCAAAACCCTCGGGATTCAATATTCAAATCGTAAATCATATAGTAAATTGTAAGATTTTAACAACATTGCTGGGAAGAAGTGGTAACATGAAAAAGTAACAAATAAGTCATGAGAAAGAAATTTGGTGTAAGCCAATCCCTCCCAAAGTGCAGGCTCTTTATGGAAAGTGTTCCTTGGAAAGATTAACACTTGTGATTTACTATAGAAAAGAAGGTCAGCCAAGTGCTTCTCTCCTCATGTTTGCATCCTCTGTTTGACTAATGGTGAGACCCACCCTCATTTACTAATTTCTTGCTTTATTGTGCCTTGCGTTTGGGAATACTTTTCCTCGCTCTTTGGATGCAAATGGGATTCCCCACAAAATGTGGTCAGCCTATTTAGTTCCAATTTTCTGTGGCAATAGAAAAAAAAAAGGAAAAATGTTTATGAAGGGTAACAAGAGCAGCTGTAGTTTGGACCATTTGGGAAGAAAGAAATCAAAGGATTTTCACTGAAAAATGCAGATCTAAAGAGGAAGTAATTGAAACAATAAAAATCAGATCTGCTCACTAGGTAAAAACAGTAGATTTCTTCAAAGATGTTTCAACAAATGATATAATAAGGAAATGGAAGGAAGTGGCACAAATGGATTTGCACAAACAAATTATCAAAATAGATAGGAAACCACCAGAGCCAAACAAATTGAAGCTGAACTTTGATGGTAGCGCCTTTGGGAACCCAGGGAGGGCTGGAATAGGGGGAGTATTCAGAAACCATCACGGAGAAATCATGGCACTGTTCTCAGGACCAATTGGGTATGCAGACTCGGTTCAGGCAGAGATATTGGCACTCCTGCAAGGATTGAGATTAGCAGTGAAGTTAGAAGCTAGAGAACTGGAAGTGGAAGGGGACTCACTTTTGGTCATCTCTTGGGCAAAGAAAGTAAACTCAGCACCATGGAAGTATAGATTTGCTTTCAGGGAGATTGACTCACTAGCTAAGAGTTTCAACTCTACTTTTGGGTGGACTAAAAGGACAGCAAATGGATTGGCATATATCCTAGAAAAATAGGGAGTTGATAGGCATTCTCTCTTTTGGGCAAAACTGTAGCTGGCTGTACTAAAAAGGAGGGTTAAAGATCCTTGTTTTATGGAACTTTCAATTTTTGTTATACTCAGGAAAGTACTGTAATCTGTTATTAAATTAATAAAAATCCTTCTTTCTGATAAAAAAGGCAAATCATTGTGGTATCATCAAAATGCATGGGATTCTTAATGCTTAAATTATCAAATAATCACTACCCCAGAACGTTATGAAAATTAAGGACAGACTAAATAACCCAATATATTAAAACCCGGCAAAGAGGCTGAACCATTTTTCCCTCCAGGTGGACAGTTCACTGGTTCCTCCGTCCATGTCAACAGGTCAACTCATAATGTCATAACAATTTAAAATTTTCAAAAAAAAGACAAACCTAGTAACCCTGTGAACAGGCTAAACAGGTCAGCGGTCCAATGACCAAGGTTGAAAGTTTGTTAATTGAATCAACAGTTTTCTGTAATATGGCAGGTTAAAGGTAAATTGGAACTGGAATTTTGAATGGGTAATCAGTTTGACTGGCTGGGGCAATAATGGGTTGAAAACACTGAAACAACCATATGAGTGCAATGAAGAAAGTTCCAATGTTCCCACACTAAGATAAGTTAAAGAAGCATAATTCTCTATTGCAATATAAAGAATTACCACAATATTAAGAGGAACAACAAATTCCCTACTGTCAAGATGCACATGAGTTATACAATGATAAGATATCAACTCCTGGGTAAAGAAAGAGTATACTTGTTTTAAATTGGTAATTTTCTACATGGTTACTAGGAACAGGATGATTAAATTACTACAAGTAAAGCATATACTTGGATAATAATATACTAATAAGAAATCCAAACTGCAATACAAAGTGCAGACTACATTTCTCATACATACTTTGCCCTGCATGAGACTCCCCACCGGGTATGCTTCCAAATCCACCATCCAAATTTTTGCAGCTCACAACATAATTCACAGCTTTTTCCACATTGATTTTATCTATACGATGTAATAATGAGAGACAACATATTGCAATATAAGAGAATCTACAAACATAGACAAAGTTGGTTAGAGAACTCATTGATAGAAAAGTACTTCAATAAATGAAGTCAAACCAACTACCAGGTGACCACTTTGCCTGGCCACCCCTCAGACACTTAGGACACAATATCACCAGTTAAAAAGTAATATTCTGTAATACAGATCTTTCCAACTAGTCAAGGGTTGGCATAACATCTGCAGGGTCCCATTTACATTAAAAGGCTTTTCTTTTAAGTGGGAAGAGGAATTGCCCTTCAATATGGAATGGATTTGCCAGTTGACTCGCCTTTTTTCCGGGTGCCAGTTGACTCACTTAGAGGAGTCCAAACAACCCAGGTATTTTCTTAATGGCAACATGGTGTGGAGATGAAAATAGCCCCATGGATTCCTCTTTTCATCCTCTAGTCATTAGGCTTTGGCAAGTTTCAGCCCAAGTATCCTTGCCACACATTCAAAGCAAGACTTTTTTTATAGAAATCTTCTAAATTAAAAAGAAATAAAACAGAAATCTTGGATGCCTAATATGACTGGGAAAAAATTCATTACCATGTAAAATATAGAGTTCACATGAACTCAGGATGAAGTTTAATGCTATGTTGACATTTCCAAGGCCATGCTTCACCTAGAAAGACCCTAAGCTTCTATGTCTTGACTACAATAAAAAGAGGGTAAATCTTGCCTTGACCTATAAGGTTTCTTATGATTCATTCCCCACTGACAGTGACAAACATAAAACAGTTACACCATTAAAGAAGGCTGCAACCCCTTGCAGACACAATCTATCCCCAAGTGGTGAGGAGAGTGATTAATGAATTCTCAGGATAATTGCTAGAATCCTTAGGGGGTAATAGTTTACCCAATAAAAATGCAAAGAAATGACATAATGTTAAATAAACTGAGGAAGATAAAGGGCACAAAAGCAAAAACAAAGAACCTTGTATCAACTTCACCCCACATGTCCCCTGAAAATGATCCATCTTCATTCTGCAGACTAGCAATATCTGAAAGTAAAATCAAGTGAAACAAGAAAAGAATGAAGGTGCAACCTATCACTTGAGGATTGGCATTATACAAAATGAAATCATTTAACAATTCAGGGTTAGTGGCTCTCCAAAGTCTGACTGTTTCCATTCCCAATTTCCCAACAGGATAATCATCTATTAAGAAAGAGAAGATATCTTGAGAGGAAATCTCAAACCACACAAAATTGGAGGTAAAAGGATACAATTTGCCAACTTATCAATATCAAGAACATCTAATTTGTCAAGAAGAGCCAAAACTTGCACAGCACTAAGGGTATACAGTATGTGTGGATCATGCCCAACATTACCACCAAAGCCTCCTGCATATACAAAATATACAACCATTGTCATTATGTTTTTTTTTCACATTTAATAAAATTTTCCCTTTACTATCACATACGAAAAAAGTCACTCCACCCCAAGCAAAGGAATATGAGAATAATAGTGTCATTGCATATAATATAATATACTTAATGGTTATATCAAAACAAGGCCTTAAGATTATTGTGGATAACTGCTTAATAGCCACAAATGGCCTATAACATGATGACTTTGGTGAAGGACTTGGCTGGGCAACATTATTACTTAGCCATTACTTTACTGGCAGTCTGTCAACAACATTTAGATTAATTACAGAAACTACTGGAAAAAGTTATTATCATTCACATGTTCTGGATCTTAATGCACATGGAATCCAAGGTGGACCCATCAAATAACAAGGCATCGCATTTATGACTAAAGCATACAAGGTAGACAAAAAGGCAAGTATGATAATATCTGATTAGACATTAATCTGACTGATGAAGTGAGCAGAATTAGTAACAGACCAGATTCATGTTGGCAGCTCATGACCCAAGAAACAATTTCATCTTTATCCACAGTTTCAAGCTTTCCCAGGAGATCCAGAGTGGTCAATCCCCAATATGCACCATTCATCCTTAGATGTTCCATCACCACAGATTCAAAATCATCCTTTCTCTAAGAACAAGATTGCCAAAGGTTAAAAAGGGTGTATAAAAGTTATGATCATACCAAAACTTTTCAAGGTAAGAATCATGGAAACATTAAGAAAACCAACCTTCTCAACTGATAAAATGTATTGAGCATGTTTCTCCACTTCAAGCTCCCCCATTGTAAAACCTTTCTGCAAGAATAAATAAATAAAGTAGAATAAAAATTCACACCTATTTTCAAAGCCTCAAATAGATAAATAAAATACTATTTGGGAAGATAAAATAACGTCCAGCTAGGGGTGTTGATTGGACAGGATTTGACCAATCCAATCCGACCGAACAAAGGTCCATTTACAAATGGACCAGACCCAATCTGATCTGAACCCATACAAATCGAGTCCAAACCGGTCCAATTAAAATGCAATTGGGCCGGATTGGGTCCAACCCAATCCACACAGAATGAAACATAAAAACTTACATGAATAAACCCAAAAATACAAAAAAAAAACAAAATTACATTAGAAATTTCACAAAAATAAAAAAATGCATCAAGATAGAAAATAAATTAAGATAAAAATAAATCAATTTCCACACTAAACCATAGTTTTCAATGAAATCTAGAGCTACTGCAACAAGTTCCTCATCACAAGATACTGAATTAGTATGGACACTACTGTCATTTCTAACCCAGCAAAGAAAATTTTCAGCCCCACTCAAATCACATTCCCTTGCTTTTCTTTTTCTTCTTTTTATTTTTTTCTCTTTCCTAGTCAAATGTTTGTCATACATGATGCAGGAACCTCTCCTGCTTTCTTAGTAACACCAAAAGTAAAAAAAAAAAAAAAAGAAAAGAAAAGGTTCTGAAAATTAACCTTGCATACTCAATATCAGCCTTTGCCCTTCAGTTAAAATCATATAGGAAACTAACACTTACAAGGAGAAAGAAGCAAATTCTAGACAAAAATAACCTAACTATGAGTCTATGACCATCTCTAGTACTCATCCCCCAATACAACAATCGTCTCACTACTCCATCACTATGATGCTTGGATACCTGTATAATATGCCTAGTGTACGGGTATCGTATTTGATACTTGTCAAATTGTGCCAAAAAATCCCTCTTGTAAAAGAGCCCTCCTGAATGAGATAGCAGGGAGCAACATTGGGTAATAGTCTTTCGACTGAGGAAGCGTTTGGCAAGTCTTTTTAGGATGATCTTCCAAAAGCTCAAGACCTCAAAAGACTGGTGAGCTTTCACAGGTAGATCCTCAAAGACCAAAGACTGTTTGGTTGCAATTTTTTTCAAAGATCTTCTCAAAAGAAAGAAAGACCAAAAGATTGTTTGCCAAGCATACTTGTGGGTTGCACTTACACACGTGTGAAATGTTATGTGTGGGACCTGGTAACACAATCAAACATGCAAATGGTACTTGTGAGTCCCACTTATACATTTACCTACACAAAATATTAAAGTGGACCCCACTCATGTATTTCCCTATACAAGATATCAATGTAGCCCCCATATACACATTGACATATGTGGTTATCACCTATGGTCACACTTATGCATTCGCCTATACAAAAAATCAATGTGGACTTCACATAGTTCCATACATTAGGGGACAAGAGCCGACATTTCAAGTCCACTAACACTGAAACCAAGTCCATTAAAACACATCTCAAAACACTGAAATCCATATATTATGTTCATAGACTTCATAGTTATTGGACCAACCAACTAATATAATCCATGAAAAACAAACAACTGAAGATAGGGATGATGATTATGATGGTTTGGGAATTCAAGGGGTTGATTGTAATTCAGAGGATCATGTATCATTTTCCATGCAAGTTGACACCTACAATAATAGTTTGGACATTGAACCTTGTAATATGGAGAATGCAAGTGTATGTACTGTTTCAAAATAAATCTGATAGATATTGCCCTCAGAGTTTAAAAGCTTGATTGCATGGTGACACTACCCTCACTCAAGTATTAGAGTTGATCAAGCCTGGTAAACAGAACTCTTTAGTATATAAACCCTTTCTAGGATATTACTTGCTTCCCTTTTAGTCTGTGTTGGAGGGTTATGACAAGAATACAAATCCTGTTGCATATAGTTGAGAAGATTATTTTAGCATATGTGAAAGCGAAATGGCATCAATTAAGTTCAAATTAGTGGCCCATGAAGTTAACTAAACTTTTTAGTCTTCCAATCTTGTTTCACATTAAACTGATATAATTTTCTCTGGATCATATTATTTCACAGGTCCGTACAATGTATTCTTTTGTGGGGGAGGACAAAGCAATTGAAGAATATTCCAGGTCACTCACAAAAGCTGTCAATTTGGGGAAAAAAGTGGAATTGTAAAGGGAGTAGGTATTGGATCCATATATGGCCTGATGTTTTGTTGTTGGGTATTAGTTCTCTGGTATGCCGGCATCCTTGTCAGGCATAGGGACACTGATGGTGGCAAAGCATTTTCAACAATTCTCGATGTCATATTTAGTGGATAGTAAGCAAACTCCAGATCTAGGCCAAGTTATTCCCACAACCCAAAGGTAAAACATGACAGGTAGTAAATTGGCCAACATCAGCCAAACATATAATATTCTTGCACTCTTTTGGAAAAAGTAAGGCAAGATTTTATTTCAAAGAAACAACTAAGTACAACAGTTCCCTGGACAAAAGAATCATTCTCGCAAGATACCTAAGGAGGAACTTCACACTTTACCAAATTAGAGAACCACAACCATAAATTCAGTCAAAATATTCTTGCATTGATACCTAAGACATTGAAACTTCTAGGTTTTTCGGTTTAGCAAACCTTCTATTTCTCTGAGAATCATTTTCGCATGATACCTAAGGAGGAACTTCACACTTTACCAAATTAGAAAACCACAGCTAATTAGTTGATATCCCACCATTCACCTAAACTGGACTTACCAAGCTACAAACCAGGAAGCAAATTATGCTCTGCCTCTGTTGTTCTCCATTGAAGTGCATAAATCAGAGTTCAAGCTTATAATTTATGACTGACCAACCTGTAGACAATGGGGAAATGTGCATTCCATTTTAGTGAAAAATAAATAATTAGGAGTCTATGCTTAGAATAATTGATTAGGATCTAGAAAATCATGATGGCAATGCTTACTTGATGAAAACTACACAAGTAGATAATGTTCTCATATTTCAGCATGGTTGAGCATTTCCAAACACTCAAACACTAGATTTAACCATTGCTGTAACAGAACTACCTTTCATTATTGGTTTCACCCGTATCACTTGCTTATATCTATTCTTGATCCCATTATCAATCCATCTCCAAATTTCATCAGAAAATCCATCATCACCTGCTGAACTCAGTGCATCACAGACCAATCTATATGTATATTCTCTAGGAATTGACCCGCCTAACTATCTCAACAAGAAAATCCCGTGCTTCCAGAACTCTTCCTGCTTCACATAATGCATGTATGATAGGGGCATATGAGCTTGTAGTGGGTATCCCATGGTTCATCAATTTCATCCTGTTTAAAATTTCAATGGCTTTGTCAATCTCATTAGTTTTTCCATAGTACCTAATAAATGAATTGTAGGTAACCCGGTTAGGGCTACATCCTCTCTGAATCATATCATCAAAAAGCTCTAATGCCCTGCCAATCCTATAGGTCTTGCAACAGCAATCAATTAAACAATTATAAGTAACAACATCAGGAGCGAAACCTTTAGGCAACATAGTCCGAAACAAGTGGTTTGCCTCCGACAACCTCTTCCTGGTGGCCTTGCGGCACCCAGTCTGCATGCTATGCTTAACAATAAGAGCTAATCAAAGTTGTGTATGTAAATATATTAGGAGGGCATCTAAAACCTGGCATTTCCATTTGTTCCAATAAAAATTTTGCCTGCTTACAAAGAGCACATATGACTGTATTATAGGCATAAACATCAGGTTTACAATGCAGCTGCTTCATCCGATAAAATGCTATCAATGCTTCATTAGCTAAGCCCTCCTCTCCAAGAACTTTTATCAAACAAGTGATAGTAGCCGTTGTCACAAGTTGCCTGTTCCCTTTTCCAGCCATTTCTTTAAGAAAATTCCACAGCATTTTCAGCCTATTCCCTTTGGACAATACACAGGCCATCTCCCTACAAGTACTCTCATTATGAGAAAATCCAAATTGGCATTCAACCCAATAATTAAAATGTAACGCCTTTTCTAATCCTAAGTTGACCTTCTCAGGATCTCTGTATGCAGCAGGGCCAAAAAACGCAAACCATCACGAAGATTATCAGATTCTAGTCGTAGATTTCTCTGTCTAAGAGGTGTCCAGTGTCTAAAACCTTTTTGGCGTCCAATTGATCTAGCAGATTGGAAAAAGAATCTGGGAATGGATCTCAAAAGCTCACAGACAGTCTCAACAGTCCATGGATTGAAATTGAGCGTAGTAATTGAGGCGGCGGTTTGAGCATCAAAAGGTCTGTCTTGGAGCATAACAACCATCACTTGGCTCACACAGGAAGTACGAGAAAGGGGAGATTTTGACCAGGGAATTGAAGGGGAAGAAGCGTATCGACGTCTTTGAGCAGGGAATGTAAGAGGTTGTCGCTTTGGGAGGAGTAACAGCAGTAGAAAATCAACAGCTCTTGATATTCTCAGAAATGAGGATGACACCAGCATTTCACTGTCACAGAGATTGGTCAGTCCTCACTGTGAAAACGAAAGAAAAGAGAGTTTTTGGAAGGGAAAGCAAATACAGTTGAGATCTAGTTACAGCAAACTAGTTGGGCGGACTCCGAAATCGATGCATTGGACGTGGAGAAATATGTGGAACATTAACAAATGTTAAACCCTGACCCTACGGAACTATTGAGTATCGATGAAAAAGTAGAAGACGATGAACGGCAAGTCTCGATTATTACTTGTGAAGAAAAAGAAGAAGAAAAATGCGTATAACTATGAAAATAATGGAAGATTGAAGGATGGAGAAAGAACATACCTGTATCGATGCTTCTCTCAGTCGACAGTGGAAATGAAGTGGGTTTCGATCTAATTTTTGCCAGACGTATCGGAAAGACCGAATAGAACGTAAGTTTCAGTTGTGGCTTTCACGACTCACGAGCCGAACAGGAAACGGGAAAAACCATTTTTTCTCTATATCATAATTGTGGATCCTAAAAAAATAATTTGACAAAAATACCCTTCTCAACATATTGATAAGATACCCCCTATATGACAATTGACAAATTGAACAAGGTGGAAATTGGAATGATCCATGAGAGTGTCCAAACTCCAGTTTTGTGAATTTTGATCTTTTCTCCTTGAGATATCAGAGGTGTTAAAAGAGTTGTCCATGGAACAATCCATGCTTCTATTGATCGTTTCCCTACTTCTTGTAAGCTAAATCCTCTAGCTTCTATTAGTCCTAAGAATGAAGAGCTCAAGCATCTACTGTCCACCATGGAGACCAATTCAGAGGCTTCAGCTTTTGCAGCTTCAAGATCCAAGGAAGAAGAATTATATCTGGCAAGAGTTTCTTGTGTTTTCCTTAAAACCTACTATAATCCACATGTTTCTGCCCTTTTAATATGATTAAGAGAAAGTTGCCAATTAAATAGATCAACAATATACTAACAGGAGGATGTAAAAAATATATGAAAACACAATTTTGATGATTCTGCTCACATCTTTCAATTGAACAAGAATATCAAACTGGGACCAGATGTCAATGGTGACCATGATGTTTTAGAACAATAGGCGGTGATATGTGATTTTCTAGTGAATGCAAAATACTTTAGCATGTTTTTTTAAGCTTCACATTTCCGTCATTCTAAAAAAGTTCTTGGTAATTGGTATAGCTATGTTCTGATTCCAATGACTGCATCAATTGCCATATTCTGTTTTTTTTTTTTTATAATAAATAAAGAAAATTCTGTTAAGATAAAAGGATTAAAAACTCCAGTGAAAAGTTCATTGCATTCATTGAAAATCTCTATGATCATACAATGTCTATCTGATTTATGGTTAAAATGTCACAGCTAGGAAAACAAATTGAGAGGAGCTTGGTATCTGTAATGATAATGATGATGATGATAAGTTTGTTTTTGCATATATTTCAGCTCCTGTTCTAGCTCTACAACTGTTAGGGGGGTCTAATTTCATGAACGATTACTTTGTTGGGATAAACAAAAGGAAGGAACATGCCAATATATTTGGACAAGGGTTGTCTTCAGATGATGACTTTGGTATCCTAAAATTCGGCCTTCCTCTGGGGAGTGGAGACACCTTGGGTGTATGTCAAAATCCATTTGCAGTGCAGAGTGATCTGAGTACATCCCATCACCTAAACCAAATGCCCACAGAAGAGAACAGGTTGTTCATTCCTATTGTTGATGAGGGTTCAGTTTCAATCAAGAAATCTGGTGGATATGTGCCATCCCTTCTCCTGGCTCGAAGGGCACCAGTTATGGAAAAGGTTCTGAAGGAGATCTAGTCACAAGATAACCACTAGGACTGAAAAAATTAAAAATAAAAAAGAAATAGGCTGCATAATGCAAATTGATGCGTCTTCATGCAGAGATTAAGAATCACTTGCAAGGAATAAATAGAATACTTGTATGCTGAAATGTTAAATGGCCTTAACACTGGTTGACAGGATCAAATTAATCCTTTGGAGATGCAATGGATGAAAAAGCTGTGAACCATGCTCTGGGGTGGGGCATCTCATTAGTGAAAATCCAAAGTATATTGTTGTAGAAGCAATTGAATATAGGGCAGCCCAGTTCAGGAGGCTCCCAATGCGGAGTCTGGAGAGCGACAGATTTACGCAACCTTACCTCTGTACATACAGAAATGCTGTTTTCAAGTTGTAGAAACAATTGAATATATGCTCTTAAAGCCTTGTTAAAACATTCTGGATGTATCAAGGTTATAAAACCATTATAGCTTTATCAGTGCATGGCTTACAGGGCATTAAAGCCTGCTAGCTCTACATGTGTTCATTGACAAAGCCAAGAGAGATAAGAAGCACCACTGACTATAAAACAGAGGAGTGTCCCTAGTAACATGTGGAAGCACTTTGATGACAGCTTATCCTACACCAAAGTAATTGAGATGGCTTACTCAACCAAAGGAATTTGAGTAACCAAGGCAAACAAATCTGTTCTATTCTATTCTATTTAATCTTGGGTGCAGGAACTGTTCTATTCTATTCAATAATATCTCATAGGCAGAAAATTTGAGGTTGGTTGGACTATCATAAAAGACACTTGTTCTATTGCAGTAAGCTGTTCCTATAGCTTGACAAGTGATTCTCCAAATCTTTTTTTTTTTTTTTTGTCCTTTCACTCCTTTTTTGGTTTGTTTCTGCAGGCAGTGGAAGAATCTCTCAAAAGCATGAACCGATTCCAGTTGAAATTTAAAAATATTTTGATCAGGCAACCTAATTCTAGATCAAGACGTCTGTGATTTTTTTTTATTTGTCAAAGTTTAAAATCATGGAGTGGACCATGGAGGACTATCAAGCATCAATAGAAGGGATGAGTGCCAAGTGCAGTAGTCATTGAATTTAAGGCTGCGTTTGGTTGCAATGCAAACGTAAATATGTACATTATATATTTACCCATTTTTCGGTTCATGAATGTAAATACGGTTCACGTTTTAAATCATTTTTGCATTTGTCTTGTTTGTTTGAAATTGGTGCAAAGTGTGAGTCCATCATTAAATGCTCCAACTATCTTATGCTCCAATGCCTTAACTTTAGTCTAAAAGTTAAACACAAAATTGTATCCAAAAACTAGGTACAGTAATGCTCTCTTCTCAGAATACAAAAGTGTCAGAAAATATATTTTTGCTCAGATAAATCATTACGTTTTTACGTATTAAACAAATACTCACAAAAACGAACCGGGATACATAAATACCCCGGTTCGGCGTTTGTATCGAAAACAAATGGAGCCTAAGAGTTTTCTTATTATTTATATTATATCATCAAGTTTTTTTTACTACAATCCAAATCAAATTGGATATCCAATAA